CTGTTTTGACGTATTTTGCTTATACTTTCAAATTGATTCTAGATGGTCTGACTTTTCGTTAAAACTACACTGCACTACACTCCAATTTTAGCTTGTCTCAACTTCCGGTCTATGTATATCACGTAATCTACTCATTTTTACCGTTTTATCCTGAATTCATTCATTGTTTATTCTCAGATAACTACGTTACAAGAGTCACGCCAGTTTACAGGCGTCTCAAATGCTTCCACAATTACTGTAAAAGTTATAGCAGTTAAATTAAGTATAAGAGTCAGTTTCTGATAGCATATTTACACCATGTCACTGACACAAACAGTATAATACAGCCACATTTTCAATAGTAGAGTACAAATAAGGAAGGTGCACAATAGGTTCTTTAGGCGATTTGCCGAGAACAGTAGTGAATTAATTGGGAAAGGTCAAAAGGAACGCGCTTGATACGAGCTGTGATCCAGACAGTCATGTACATAGAGTGCATGTTCCCTAGATTCGCCAAGGATTTCCCACCATGAAAGGGGTTATTCTGCGGACAACATTATTTCGTTGAGATATATCCACACATTTTCGCCAGTCATTTTGCTCGCTTCATGTATATTTAACTGCTACATGATTATTAACACCATTTAAGTTTGAAGCATCTGAGATCTGAGTACTGGGGACGACTGAACTCGGTGCTCGTGTGGCAACTGTGTTGACAGGAACACTGGAGATGGAAGTTACCCGAAAAGCAACAATCTACTGTGGGAGGGAACAAACCAGATTCCATCGAAGGAGGAAATCGGGTTGAGATGGATAGGACAGACACTGAGGAAAGCCCCCAATTGCGCAACATGACAAGCCCTAACTTAGAACCATCAAGTTCGAGGGAAAAGGAAGGCCAAGGAACACATCACACCGAGAAATGGAAACAAACATGATAAGAATCAACAAAATTCGTACGGAACTCAAAGGGAAGACAAGGAATACTGGTCGGCGGCATATGGTCCAGTAGGGGTAACAGGCATGAGTAGGTAAGTATGTTTGTAAATATGGATGCAAGACCAGTTTGTCAAAATCAGATGCTTGCATTCAGGAAGGAGACAGATCCATCAAACATAGAAGTAAGATCATTCAAGAAAAATAGCAATTTTTCTATGATATGCACAAAATATCCATTTACCACACTTTTCCGTAAGTAGTACACATTAAGTACACTAAAAACTGCTGCTCAATGCCTGAGGGTGAAGTGGTTCTGCTGACTGCAGAAGGGTGTGACAGCAGTAAGGTTTATCCCGCGGAAAACCAGCATCTGCAGCCATGCTGCTTTCTCACAGGGAAGGATGGGCTAGAAAAGTTCGACCCTAAAAATGTCACACCTCACCCTACCTCATGGATTTCCGTCTCCGGCGGTAAGGGTGCCCACTAAGGGCGTTTAATTGCGGAGCTAACACTCAGAAACTTTTTGTAAAAAGGCTGAGCGTGACCGGCCTCAAGCAGTTGTCGCTTGGGCTCTGCGATCACGCTCCCAGGTCGTTCAGACCAACAATAATCTATCTTCCTTTTCAAGTTCCTTAAGAAACAACCTTCCATACTGTGGGCCCTCGAGAATTGACAACCGCCCTCATACCCGTAACAGCACACGAGACCAAATTGGTCACAATCAAATCCTTCCTACACCCCCTAATACCTCTCATATCTCACATTCTTTTATCACACTACACATCTAATGCAAACAATGCGAGTTCACTTAACGTCCTTCATGATCTCCTTAAACCCCGCTCTAGACTACATGCTGGAGCATTTAATGCACGTACATTGTCTCAAATAGGGCAACAGGCTTCTTTAGATAGGACATTTGAATCTCATGCTGCGTCTCTGACACGCGCATACAGGATCCTAATGAAGTCATTAATCTGATTTCCCTTTCTCAGAACAAAGAATCAGCCCGATTTACTCTTCGTGTATCCGGTAGCCCTGATGCTGCTTCCTGTGGTCTCGCTGGTGTAGGTATAGCATTGATTCGTAGGACAGAAATAGCTCAGTCAGGTAGACTAAGCGAAAATGAAAGACACCTAGGTTGTTGTCATGGTGATTCGACTCAGAGAAAAGACAATCGTGACCGACTGTTGCGACTGTGTTAGATAACCGCCTATTTCTAGCAAACACTAACTTAAGCCTAAGCAAGAGCATCTCTTTACCTGGCGAAGTTAGACGCAACTAGATCACATCGACATCAGCCACCGATGGAGAAGATCGATAGAGGACTGCCGATTGTTCTGGGGCACATGTTTAGATTCAGACCATGCTTTAGTGCGAGCTTGTATTTGTTTAATGCTTACTGGACTTAGGAACGACACCGTAAGAAAGCCTCTTAGGGTTTTACTTAATGATAATAAGGCGAAGAATATATTTCAGGAACAACTAGAAAGAGAGTTAGGCAATCATTTAAGCGATTCCCATCCAAAGGCAGCTTGGAATGATATCAAGAAGGCTGTGGAAACTGCATTGATATCCGCTAGTAAGGTTGACCTTAAGTCTAGAAGGAAGCCGTGGATCTCAGTAGCGTCCAACGATCTGATGGATGCCCGAAAACTCATCCCACCTGGCTCTGAACATGATGAAGAACGAAGTCAGCTTATGCGCAGACTGATAAAAATCCTGCGCAAAGACCGTGAACAGTGGTGGGTGGCTGAAGCAAAGGCGATGAAAAAGGCAGCGGCAAGAGGCAACAGTAGGCAACTATTCAGACTCATCAAGAAACCGGTATTAGGAACCCTAATGTGAGTGAGGCCATTTCGAGAAAAGGTGGTCTTATTAGCCATTCTCAATCCAGGAGGCTGGATCGATGGGCAGAACACTCTAGGGATCAGTTCAACTGGCCTGGAACTGGACATAATCCCATCCGACTGGTCTCAATTTTTATTGTCCCGATTTATAAGAAAGGAAACAGGTCTTCTTGTGACAATCACAGAGGAATCAGTCTAAATAATATAGTTTCTAAATTGTTAGCCTCTATCATACTTAGACTCTTACTAGTGCTCGTGAAGAGCATACAAGAGAACACCAGGCTGATTTTCGACCTGGACGTGGCTGTATAGACCACATTTTCAAGCTAAGACAGGTCCTGGAACACAGACACACATTTAGTCGTCCGATAATAGTTGTCTTCCTGGTCCTAAAGGCGGCATTTGACCCTGTTCATCGTGAGGACCAGTGGCAGTGTCTGTCATTAAAAAGCGTATCAAAGAAGTACATCAACCTTACAAAAGCTCTCTACTCGAACACCACTCTCCCAGTTCTTGTTTAATTTTGTCGTAGACATGCTCTTACAGTTAACTTTATCTCCGTCTGACTTTTCAGAAGTGGACCTTCTAGCAGTAGACTCGCTTATTGACCTAGAATATGCTGATGACAGTTTTATTTGGTGAAGACGCTGACAAAATGCAAAGTATTCTGACTACCCTAAGCAACAACGAGAGCATGTTCGGGATGCGGTTCTCACCGTCGAAATGCAAAATGTGGCTTCGAGATTAGGTTGTATCGGCACCTGAACTAGCGATAGGGAATGAAGTAGTTGGGCGTATAGACCGCTTCACTTATCTTGGGAGTCTCATCAGTGTTGATGGGCTGGTTGACTGACGAAATCTCAGCACGGATACAGAAGGCTCAATTGGCTTTTGACAATTTACGTCATTTATGGCGTAGGCGAGATATCCTTTTGCTGATTAAAGGACGAGTGTACTGAGCAGTAGTTCGCTCCGTTCTCTTATATGGGTGCGAAACATGGCCGATAAGAGTAGAAGGCATTCGTAGGTTACTGTCTGCGGGGTAGGAGTCTGACTAATGCAGTACTAAGCCTTCTGATTGTCTTTATTGTAACGCCATCATCTTTGAATTTGAGATCGATAAATATTGGTTTTTTTATGGACTGTAGCTACATTCAAATTGCTGACCTAAGTTTCTAGTATACTTATCAATGAATTTATGTTGGCAGAAATTATTCTTCATATATTTTCTAACGTTCATCAATCGTTCTTCCAGTTTCCCAGTGGTGTATATCATCTCTAATTTTTAACAATGTTTTCTTATTACCGATTGCATAAAAACTAATAGAATTCACGTATAGATCATTATGAGTACCTTTCTCATAAAACGAACATTGAACTTCCCCACTCGCTCTCCTTTGCATGATAACGTCAAAAAGGCAAAACACGTTTCTTTTATGGTCCATAGTTAATTTTATGCTATGATGACCCTCGTTAAAAGGTTTTAACAGATGAATTGCATACAGTGAACGTGTCATTCATATCCCTCGAGTAATTTGTTGTTTCGCTTGTCGCTTATTTTAGGTTCGTTTTGTTCACGGAAGCATATGAAAATATCCACCAAAATTGGACTTTCATTGTTACACCGTAGGTTTGTTTGTGTACGGTGTCTTTAAACTGAAATTGAACATCTTTTGTGTCTATGAGTATCAGTCAGTGGAACTCTTGCATTGGTGAAGAAAGGAGATCAGAATGCCGATAATTTATGTCAACGATTTCAAGAATGACTATTTTGGAGAACGAACACGTTACATAAAAAGATACCAGTGACTTGCTGTGAACGCTTACATTGTTTAGTCTTTTAGTAAATTAGAGTGAGTCTTTTATAGTATGTGTTGATGACCGTTGACTAACTGGTCCCAGCTTCTTCACTAGTCAGTGTGCAACTTAGTGACATGATAGGGGTAAAAAGGACGTCAAGTTTACACATCTGTGATAAATATTACAGGCTGTAGGTATACGACAAAAAGCCTATTAACAACTGAAGTTATGTAATTCCTCTCTTCAAAACCACTACAGATTTTGAAGAACGGCTAGATTGTGTGAAATATTTTAAATTACATTAAACTATTTTGCAAAATAATGAAAACATGCAGAAGACTTACAGAATGACTATGATATTCAGTAAATACAGGAAGCCAAGAATTAGAAAATAGCCCATTCTTCAATGAAAATATTGATACCACTCGACCTCTATCACCCATTATAAGTAAATGTGGATGTTTCTACAATCAAGGTTGTTAGAAAAATTTTTAGGAATACAAGGGGAATATGTAAAGCATCAATCCCGTAGCTGACCACGTTTAACTTGGATAGACGGATGCAATCGGTTGAATTCTCCCCGAAATTTATACAGCACTTTTCTCGTTCAAAGCTTGCCGATGCCCAGTCTACGGCCTTTTCTACATTTGGTACAAATCAGAATACATAAATCAAATAACCTGGCAAACAAGGGTAGGTTCCATTCCAAAGACTTTGTGAACGCCATTTCCAATACGACTGCTGACCTAACCAGTGGCAAAACTGTCCACATACAGAAGATAGTGCCACAAGATCGTTAATCCGCAAATAAGAGCAAATTTGATAAAACAAATCTTGAGGTAAATCTCTGATTTCAACCATTGATTACAAACACAGCCAGAGATAAATAACCATTAATGTTGGAAGTTTCAAATAATGTTATCCTAAGAACAAATCAGACATGAAAATAAAACCCAAGAAGTAAATTTCAATAAAAACAAGACGATTCTGCACAAATTAAAAGCAACTCAAAAGAAAAACTTCATAACCATAGCTAAAGAACGCGGTGGAAAAGTTGAATGAAAAATATGCTACACTTCATTCATATAACGCATAATACAAATATTTCACAAATACTGATTTTATGCCACACTGTTCGAGTTATCTAAAAACCTGAAAGTGAGTACTCCATCAATCTTCGGTTTTAATTGTTTCTCATGAACGCTGCTGAGTCCATAATTAAAGTGGGCGTATCAAATGTACTAGCATGATATCTTTGAAGAATTCCAATAATCTTATAATAACTTTTCGGATTTCTTGTCTACAAAGAGAATACGTAAAGATATACCCTAGCCGAAAACTAGCAGTTGCGACTAACTTGGAAATTTTCTGACAGTAAGAATTCGGAAAAACAAAGACATTCGCCGTTGCCTCTTAGTTGTCTGTGCCTACGCTCCCACTAATTGTAGATCAGATGACGCAAATATGGAATTTCGTAAGGTTGTGCAATAATGTAGTAATAGTGGCTGGTGACTTCATTGTTCAAGTAGGTAAACTAAGCGAAACTGGAAGACACCTGAGTGGACCATTTAGTGTCGTGTCTCAGTGATCACCTGCTGCAAACATCCTCAGATAATCGCCTATTTCTAGGAAATACCAACGTTAAGCATAAGGGGAACATCTTTTAACATGGTGAACCCCAAAGTCGTCCCGACGATGGATTTAACTAGACCATATCGCTACCAGCCACTGACGTAGAGACTCGATCGAGGACTGTCGCTCATTCTGGAGCACGCGTTTAGATTCGAATCATGTTCTAGCAAGAGCATTTATCTGTCTACATCTTACTGGACGTAAGAAAGGCGCAGCAAGAAAACCACTTGTGGTTGTACTTAACGATAACAAAGCCAGGAGCACACTTCGAAAGCGACTAAAAATGTCATTAAGCCATATAGGGGACGCCAACCCCGAGGCAGCTTGAAATGATATCCAATAAGCTGTGGAAACAGCCGATGAGGTCAACCAAAAGGTTAGGCAGAAGCAGTAGGTTTTAGTAGCATCTACCAAACTGACAGATGCTCGGAAACTCATCCCACTTGGCTCTTGACATAATGAAGAGCAAAGATGATAAAAGCCTACGCAATGATCACGAACAGTGGTGGGTAGCAAAAGAAGAGAGAGGTGAGCGGCAGCGGCTATAGGCAACAACAAACAAATGTTCAGTTATCAAAGAAACCAACTATTATCGAAAATATCTCGCAAATAGATAGGACGGTTGCTCACATTGAGGAAGGTTATTTCTTTAGGAAAGTGAAAATGTGGAGGTATTTAACACCTCAAAATGAGATTGGATTGATGAATTAAAGGATATGTTACGTACTACGGTTAATAATACGGTTTCGCCTAAGATCGACATGATGTTTTTTGGGGGTATATGTCTGACATGAATTCTACGGCTAATCTGGAAATAATTGTGTCACGTTTACCCCTAGAACTAGAGAATAAATGGGTGGGAGCTGCTGATAGGATCATGATGACCGGTAGGGAGCCGATTTTTGAAGAATTAGTGATGTTTGCAGAAGAAGGAGCCAGGATTGCTGGATCACGTTTAGGTAGATTGGTACATTATAACTCAAAGTTCCGTAAAAGTAATTATGAAAGCCAAGTTGACAGGAGATCACGCTTTAATGTAGTTAAGCGGGAACCAAGCAACTCATTCAAGGCTTTAAGTTGCGAAATTTGTTCTGGTGATCACAATGAGAAAGACTGTATGAAGTTATCAAAAATGAATGTTACAGAGAGGAGACAGGAAGTGAGGAAGCGTGGTCTATATTACCTGTGTTTAAGGAAGGGTCACATAGCCAAGTTGTGTACCTCGGACATAAGGTGTGACGTTGATAATTGTAAGATTCGGAATAGTCAATTATTACATATTGATGCTACTAACAAACATGTGGCGAACTTTGCTAAGGATTGGAAATTCTCAAGGGTTTGTTTGGGTATCACTCCGGTTAGACTATATGGCCCTAAAGGATGTCTGGAAACATACGCCCTTCTAGATAATGGTTCAGATACCTCTATTGTATGCGAAGAGTTAATTAATCGGTTAGGTCTCAAAGGTAAGGAGACTTCAATAAAGGTGACGACTGTGAATGAATACGACCAAGACACTTCCGATCGATTATGCAGAACCTTTAACCGAACTCCAGCTGAGAAGGTGGAAACATTTAAAGGACATAAACCTACCGAGGTTGCAAAGTAATCTTGCAGGAATATTGATTGGGTGTGATGCTCCAGATGCACATTTAGTCCTTGAACAACCCCTGGGAGACAGGAAACATCCCGTTGGTGTGCGTACTCATCTCGGTTAGATGATTTTAGGTCCTAAAGGAGTATCGAGGTCTTTACATCAAGTTCAGTGGCGTCATCGTACTACTAATGATATTTTGCGAGATATAGAAAGATTATATAATCATGAGTTCGAGGATGCGGATGGGTTTCGTGATGGATAATCTGTCGAAGATAAAAGAGCTCTAGAAATAGTTAATAGTTCCTTGAGACTGGAAGGTGGCCGTTTCCAAGTTGGTCTATCCTTGAAGTATGATAAGCCAAGGCTATCGAATAATTTGGAACTAGCTTAACGTAGACTGTAGTGTTTAAGTAAGAGGTTTATGAAGGATAATAGTCTTCTGGAGAAATATCAACTTGCAATGAATAAGCATTTAAGTTAGGGCTACATCATTGAAGTTAGTAAGGAGGAATTCGACGTGATTCTGTTTGTTGGTATATTCCTCATTATCCTGTTATCAACCCTAAAAGGCCTGGAAAATTAAGAATTGTTTTTAATTGTGCAGCTGTCTATCAAGGTTGTTCTCTTAATGATCAGCTTTTGAGAGGACCAAATACTGTAAATAGTTTGATTGGTATACTTCTACGATTCAGATTATGCAATGTAGCATTAGCCGCTGACATCGAGATGTTTCTTCAAGTAAAGATCCCGAGACGAGATAAGGGAGCGTTTCGACTATTGTGGTGGGAAGACGGTGATATAGGACGAAAGGCTAAGGAATACTGTTTGACAGTTCACCCGTTTGGAGCCGTGTCCTCCCCTTTTCGAGCTAATTTCGCCCTTAGGAAGACGGTAGATATATTCAGAAAGGAATTGAATAAAGATGTCCAGGAAATTGTGGATAAGAGTTATAATGTCGTCGACTATTTAACTTCAATTGACAATGTGCAGGATGCAATGGAGCTTGAAAAAACCCTTGGTTTACTCCTCAGAAAATGTGGGTTTAGACTTACCAAATGGATAAGTAACTGTTTACAGGTTCTCGAATCAATTCATCCAGAAGAGGATTCAGAAGCCGTTAAAGAGATTGACTTTGAGACACTTCCTACGGAATGCACATTGGGATTATTTTGGAATACTATGGTTGATGCGTTTGAGTTTAAAGTTGGCATATCGAAATCACCTCTCACTAGGTGAGGTATATTGTCAAGTGTAGCTTCATTATACGACCCCTTGAGATTGTTAGCACCATTCATACTTCATATGAAGCAGTTACTTCAACGTTTAGGTAAGTTGGGACTAGGATGGGACGAAGAGATTCCAAGTGAGGAAAGCAAACGCTGGTTAGAGATTTTAAGTGAATTTCAGAGGGTTGAGAACGTTAGTTTTCCACGCTGTGTATTATTTTCACAGTCAGATCACTCGCTCCTGGAACTTCATATTTTCTGTGACGCCTCGGAAACTGGATATGAGGCAGTGGCAGACGTCCGCTCTTACATCCATGACACTGAAATATGTCCTCGTCTTATTACGGCTATGCCAAGAGTAACCCACTTAAAGATTCAAACTATACCCCGCTTGGAACTTACGGCAGCAGTGTTACGTCCAGTTTTTTGCTCGTCGATCTTACGAAGCACTGTTGTCGTCTATTGGTAATTCAAGGTCCCAAATTTCTATACCAAGAACGAAACTCCAAAGTAGATACCAAAGTTTATTCCAAATCACAAATTCCACCAAAATAATTTATTACAAATAGACGACCAATGTCGTTCTAACAACAATAATTATAATAATTACAGTTACCTTCTAATTTATTATCTCTTGGAGCAAAAAACTGTAACGAACAACAAAGAGAAACGGGAGTCCAATATGTCCGCAAATAATAATTCAAACAAGTTCATAAGTTAAGTAAAACAAATATACCCAAAAACAGTGAAATTAATGATATTTATACATGAAGGTTTTGATCAGCAAAATGTCTTCGTTTCTCCCGTAACAGCAGTGTTAGCAGCGCGTATGGGGTCCCAGCTGCAGTCCGAGTTAGATATCAAGTTTGCAGAAGTTGTGTTTTGGACGAATTCCATGATTGTCTTACACTATATTAGAAATGAGAAAACATTCATAGCAAAACCGGATTTCGACTATCCACAGTCTTACAAAGGTGGACCGATGGAGATTCGTACCTCCTAAAGAAAAACATAGCAGACTTTGCTTCTAGAGGAGCCAAGTTCAACAGTACTGGTGTCAAGGTATAGGTAGAGGGACCACATTTTTTGAAGTAGTCAAAGGAGTGTACCAGCATGATATCTTTGAAGAATTCCAATAATCTTCTAATAACTTTTCGGATTTCTTGTCTACAAAGAGGATACGTAAAGATATACCCTAGCGGAAAACTAGCTTTTGCGACTAACTGGGGAATCTTATGATCATCTACTTATTATTTGACAGCTACCTAGCTTTGTTAGCCTGATACGTTAGGACAGTCAATGGGTTTATTCTAGCTAGTGAAAAGGATACTGGATATGCTTGGGTAGATAGATAGCGAGAACTAGCTTGATAAATGTCTTTACGTCGGATTTATTTCATGGACTCA